ATGTCTGCACCAAGTGCTAGCAGCACCCCAGCCTGCACCCCAACCCCAGACTCATTCTTTCAGCCCCCAACTGAGTTTTTGGAAAAATTTTTCTAGAACACTGTTCAAAGACCCCAAAACAATTCATGGATCCCCTAAATGGAACACAGAATTAAATGTGTGCATTTTTCTAGAAAGAGGGTTTTGATTTGCCTCAAATGTCCAGACAGATCAGTGACCTCCAAAACAGTAAGGGCTCTGGCTTCTAGACAGAGGTGCAGTTAGAGCCACAACTCTGAAGTCTGCTGCCTTTGCCTGAGTCCCAGGACTGTCACTACTCTGCAACTGCAGGCAAGCCCCTGAACTCTTCTATGCCTTAGTTCCTCAAGTGAAAATGCAGGAAAAAATAGTACCTGGATCATAGGGCTGTTTTGAGAATAAATTAATGTCTATAAAATATTTAGAAGCAAATTTGTTTATTTGTAGTAAATACTGTGTTAAGTGAATGATGAAGTTACAGGATACAGGGGGGCAGAGCCTTTTTAGGCAAAGCTGTCCTAGTGCTAAGTGACTTCATAACACCCCCTCTATCTTAGCGCCATTCTCTCTCAACAAGCTTCAAACCATAGGGACGCAAGTCTGGTTGGGCACTGTCACCTCCCTTGTCCTGGCTCTTATACCTCTGTTAATATGACTCTGCCAACTTTTTCTTTTTAAGTTCCTGCTTTGCCTCTGTTATCATAGACAATATATTCTTAGGCTTTTTCTCTTGCGAGGTGAGGCTTTCTGGTCCTGTATCTGGGCTACTGTTGACAAGCAGGATGGCCAGCTCTTCCCGACTCATTTCATCTTGTTGGTTTAGCCTGTGGCTCTAGGAGAAGCTGAAAGAATTGCTATATCAGAAACCAGCAGATCTGGAGTCTGACTCTAGCTCTGCTTTCTCATCAGCCATGGAACCTGACGGGCAACTTATCTGACCTTGCTGATCTCGGTGCTCTCAGGTGGAAAGAGAATAGCAGCCCCATCCTGGGCAGATTCAATAAGGTAATGCTTCTGAGGCCTTGACTAGCAGGCTTTGTTCTTTTTTTGGAATCTTACATCTTCATATTTGAATCCATAACTTTTTTTAAGTATAATGTATGTTTGATTGAAAAAAAGTCATTTTCACACTGAAGGACTTCTCCCTTCAGGTGCAGTCACTGCAGTTTTCCCACCACCAAAGCGCCCCCTGTCCTCCACGGCCCTGCTGTGCTCTCTTCCCCCTCCCCCACCTCCCACACCTCCCCACACCTCACCTCCATCCCTGTGATTGCTAAGGATCCTCTGTCGTTACCAAACAGAAGGATCAGAGAAGCAGGATTTTGTTGACTTAAATCCTTGACTCGACATCATAAGGAGGCTGTTCCTTGAGGTTTTGCTCAACCATGACCTGGGAGTGAGCGCCATGCCCGTGAGGGATGCAAACAAGCTGGACACAGCGTATCAGAGAAGGAAAACTTGCAGAACCTCCCCATCCGGGCTGCTGGCGACCCCAGGCCCCTTGTAACTTGAAATCATTTCCTTTTGCCACCTCACTGACCCTGGTTATTTGAGAATCATTCTTCTTCTTCTTCTTTTTTTTTTTAAGATTTATTTATGCATACAAGGACTGGGGTACAGGCCAGAGGTGCGAGGGGTAAGAGGATTCACCAGACACAGAGTAGGGAGCAAAACAGGCAGATAGACTGAAATCCACTGCTGAGGGGAGCAGCAGGCAGGACAGGGAGGTCTGCTGCGCCCTGTGGGTCAGCTCCCTGGCCGGGGATCGAACTTGTGCTGCAGTGGCTGTGGCTAGCTAGAGTCTAGTGCTGCACTTTAACTAGCCTTGCACCGCCAGGGAGGGCCCTGACAATCATTCTTAATTCCTCTGTGTAGCTGCACCTTTGTCCTCGGCTGCTTGTGCTGTTCAGGGAGTCCTTTCCTCTTGCTGCATCTGTGCAGTGGTTCCTTCTGAAATGCAGTGTTGCCTGGGCCCCAGGAAGCCAGCTGAAGGGGGTGTGTGTACCCACACATGCACATCTGGATGTGCCCCCCTAAAGCAGCTCAAAGCTAGTACCAGTCTTCCTGATGGTGTCGCTGGACTCCGCCGCTCAGTTAGAGGACTTCACCACCGTAGCCTTCTGCAGTAAGACTTTGGACAGGCAGGTAGGCCTCTCTCTTTATTCAAATTTGGAGCAGAAAGGGCTGTGCACCTTGCCACAGGATGCTGTGGGCCTCTGTCAGCTTGTGAGTCACTGGGAAAGTCACCCGGCCTTCGCAGAGGGTATGGCCTCATGGGTCTACCACCCACTTGCTCCCTCCTCCTTGCGCCTCACCGCAGGCTCTGTGAGGGTGAGGGCTGGAGCGTCGAGCAGGTACCCAGTCTCCCCCATGGTCCTGTACTGAACCCAGTAGGGCCCCCCTCAGGTCCCGGTGGACCGCTTTTTGAGTACGTGCCCTGAGCCGCCACCCCTGTGGTACCGGGAGCTCGGCAGAGAGCAAGACATGACCCAGCCACCGGACTGTTGAGAAAGGAAGGCTGCTGCCCACGCGCAGCCTTGCGTTTTGCATGCCTGGCACTTGTAGACAAGGACTGGCCAGGTCGTCTGGGACTGCCCCTCCATGCAGGCCTGTCTGACAATCCTGTGCCCTGGCCATTTTGGGCAGGAGCTCCAGAGAGGCGGCATTGTGTTCTCAGGGCCTGTTTCCCAAAGCCCTTGACCTTGGTTTGTGCCGTCTCCGGACCACTACACGGACCACTTGGTCAAAGTAGTGTCTGCCAAGTCACTGTACCATAAAGGCATTAGCATTTTGACTCAATAGCAATTAACATAGTTCTGTGCAGAGATGTTGCAAGGCAGCTGTGATGAATAGAGCGCCCCTCTCTCCACCACTTAGTGGTCTGTGTCGCTGAAGACTCCTGGGCTCTGATTTTACATGCAAGGTGACAATTATGATGTCCCTCTTGGCCCTTGTGGGCCCCTGCATCTTTTGGAGGTGCCCCCACTTGTCATGGAACCCTCCTGTCCAGCACAGCGACAATTCCAGGCTTGTCTCGTGTTCTCCCCGGTGCTGGCGTCAGCAGTTTCTCCAAGATGCCCAGGGCCCTGCCTGCAGAATAGACCCAGCCTGGGAGGGGATGTGGTAATCAGATCCAGGGCTGGCTCCTGGACTATTATTTTTATAAAGGACATTATTGAGGCAATTAGCAAGATGGAAATGAAGTTTGTGGAGTAGATGACAGCAATGCATCAGTGTCATTTCCTGATCTGATGCTCTGTTGTGGTTATGTTGGGAAATGTGCTTGTTTTTCTGAATGTTAAGGAATAATGTATTCACTTACTCATAAGGAATAAATCAGAGAGAGGCTGAGGGAGCGTGGGAGGAAAGGTAAGGAGGTATTCATGAAGAGCAGCAGGAAGTGAAGAGTTGCAGGTGGTGGTAACACCCAGCCCAGGTTGTGTAGGGGGAGGGGTCGAGTGGGAGGCGGCTGGCTCAGGAGGGCCTTCCCGTGGGACACGGTCCCTGGAGAGATTCCGGCAGGCACTTGGGGGCTCCGTGGTGACATCCACCCCGCACTGTGCCCAGACACTTCAGGGTGCTTTAGGTAAACTCCTCTCTTCCCCTTTGCAACACAGCCTCTGAGGTTGAACTTGGTGTTACTTCCGAGTGACAGAGAAGCCCAGGCTCTGAAAGATAGCAACTTAGCAGCACATAACTGCTAGGCAGAAGGAGGCCTAGAAGCTGCTTTTCTGAATATGACCACAGGATAGAAATGCATACCGGAATGGGGTTCAGGACAGAGAGATGCTCTCAGCTTTGCCAGGGAAAATGCCCCAGTACTTTGCATTATCTGCCAGGGACTCGGAGGGGCGTGCCCCTACTTGGCCCTGTAGGATTCTGCTTCTGAGTGCTTTCCTTCACGATTCTAAGTGGTGACTGAGCCCAAGTCACTGGGGTGTGCAGGTCACTCTTTGTGGACTCGGTATGTGTTAGCTCAGTTGGTCCTCACAACACCCCAGGGAAATGGGAGCTGCAGGTGGCCTCAGTGCGCAGCCTGGGGAACAGGTGCAGAAGGGCTAAGCCACTCAGGGTTCACGAGCAACTGACAAAGCAGGTGTTTCAAGTTAAGGAAATAATCACAAAAGTATGTGGTGACGGCGCTCCATGGAAGAGCATAGACACCACGCTGCTTACCATAGAGAAGTAATAAAAACAGTAAGGGCTGGCACTCAATCGTGAACACGCAGTGTGATGCTCGGAGTCGGGTGTTTTGGCTCTAAACATAGTGCTATGGAATATTAATGACATCAGATTTAAATGTGACGCTTTCGCTAACATGCTGGCCAAAGCTAGGTGCAGGTTGATTCCAGAGTCCAAAGGAGAGGAAGAATGTCCTTCCCGGAGAGGGAGAAGAGGGGAGGGAGCGGGGCTGTGCAGGATGATGTGGAACAGGAGGAGGGAAGAGCTAGACAAGGAGCTAGAAATGCTAACACTGAGCGGCATCTTGATAGTGGCTGTGGATCCGGTTGTGACTCTAAGCCACTGTGCAAGGCTCAACAGTTCGATGACCATCCCCAAAGTACATTTTGAGAAACTAAGTCGTTTCTGTGTGTGGGTTTTGTAACACACACCCAGAATAGAAGCTGGGTATGGAAATACATTTGGTAAGTCTCTGCTTGCGTGAAGCAAAAGAAATTACCTTTTTTATTGCAAGACTTACTAGGCTCTTTGCACACATGTGCACTGTAAACTTCCAGAAATCTGAAGACTTGCTCAGACTGAACAGGTGTGGGTTTGTGTTTTTTTTTTTTTTTTTTTTAAAGAAGTGTTTTTGGGGCAAACGTGCCCTGGCCGGCTGTGTATATCGGGTTCTGTTTCATGATTATAAACAGCTCTGGTGAGTGAGAGGGGTTCGTTGGCAGAGGCACAGATGGCGGGGGAGGAGGGCAGAGTGGTGGGAGCCCACAGTCAGCACTAACCAGACACCTTTCTCTCAGCAGGCAGCCTGGGATCTCCCAATGGGGTGGTTTTGCTCCAGAATCACCTTCCCTGTGAGTTGCCTGATCCTGGTGTGGGCAGCAGGTGCTGGTAAGTCACCACTTCCCACCTGTCATTCAGCCATTCATTCATCCAGCACATATTTACTGATTTTAGGTGCCAGGCTCCCGGGCTAATCCATGAACAGCCCAGAGATCCCTGAAGGACATAAATTTTAGGGGGAGGACTTGTCAGTGACAAGGGTCCGTAAAAATAAACAAATTTGGAAAATTTTGGAAATCTTCACTGATGGAAAATATTTTTGGCAAAAAAAAAGTCAGTATTGCACAGAGTAGGAAAGATTGGAAAGGCGGGGGAGCAGAATTCCAATTTAAAATAGGAGCTTAGAGAAGCCCCCCTTTGGGTGACAGTTGAGCAAAGACGAAGGAACAGAGAGTCACACAAAAATCTAGGGGATGGAGAGGGCCGTCTGAGATGTCACCAGAGCGGTGGCCGGAAGGAAGGGCAACAGGAGGCGGGGAGGAAAGGGGCCACGAGTCGAACAGGACCTTGCAGAGTCTGAGCAGAGAAGGGACCTTTCATTGAGTCCCTTATGGGAAGGACCCCGTGAAGGCTGGAAGCTGGCAGGCCACAGGGGAGGTGCTGCTGCCTCAGACCGACCGGGGAGGAGGTGCAAGGGCTTGGCTGCGGACCCATCTGGAAGGTAGATTAAGGACAGTTTGAAGGGGAGGAGAGAGGTGCCAAGAACGACTTGGATTCTGACCTGAGTGACTGGGAAGGATGTGGTTGTCACTTCTGAGAGGCAGAGGGGTGTATTGACTTTTGGTTTGTTTGGTGGGTAGGGATTCAGAAGTTTGTCTTGGACATGGAGTGAGTTTGAGGTATGTGTGAGATAGCTAGGACTTCCCTTAGCACGGAAGTCCTTGGTCTGATGAACAAGTACAAACAGGTGCCAATTACAGTGGATCCTGTGCTGGGCCCGGGAGCAAGCAGGTGCCTAGTGATCGGGTGCTTGGTGGCCTGGGGGTGGGGGGTGAGGGCTTTGGGATGATCTGGCAAACCTAGCATACAACCTGCTGGGGTCAGGTTCCAGCTCTACCACCAACTAACTAGAAGAATCCCTCATCCTACCCTTCAGTACTGGTGGAACCCCACTGGAAGCCGGAGTGACAGGACCAGAGAGCAGCCTTCTGCATGCAGAGAGGACACGGAGACAGGAATTGGGCAAATGGGAGTCAGCTCCCCCCGCCCCCCCAGCTCACACTGCTGCAGGGCAGATGCCTGCCCGGTGGAATGGCATGCCTTGCACTGCCCTTATCTTCCTTTAATCTGGCCAAGCCAAGCAGTCGGGTTTGCCAAAGCTAGTGGTGCCTTTGGCTATGCCCTGATAAGGTTCCTACTCCTGAGGGTATATCTTTAGCTCCAGAAATTACTCCTGTGCCAGCTGGCAAGCTCCAGGAGCCCTGGTCCTGGCCCCGGCTCTGTGAAGGTCAGCACGCAGAAGGTCCCGGCCCACGGTCCCACTTGGGCGGGCTTCTGACGTGTGCCTGCGGCGTCGACTCCCCTTGCTGGGCAGGCCCCGGTGCTCAAGGATCCCATGTCTCCCCAGGGAGTGTGAAAGTCTCGCACGAGCCCACCTGCCTCACTAACTACATCGACTCCTCTTGTGAGTGGAAGCTGGATGGCCCCACCAACTGCAGTGCTGAGTTTCACCTGTCCTACCAGCTCAAATACATGGGCTATGAGTAAGTCTGTGCTGGGGTGCTGGGAGGGTTGGGAGCCTGTGCCCTCAGGCTGAGAGTTGGCCTGTCCCATGGTGCCCTGACTGCAGCTATCTTGGCATGGTCCTAGAGGTGAGGTGCCCACGACCTGTGTAAGACACGGTGAGTATGTCACCATGACAGTCACTGAGACGTAGCATGCACAGGTGGGTGGGCTATTGGTGTAGACCAGTGGTTCTCACACTTTTTGGCTTCAGGACCTACTTGCCTGCTTAAAATTAATAAAACCAATATTACTTTCATTAAATAAAATTAGTGATCCCACCAAACGTTTTTGTCAAAGTAACTTATGTAGATCAGTATTTACCCTGTTAGAAACAAAGACAGAAATTTACAGCACAGTAACACACACACCCACATTCAACACGTCATCAGAGTGGTGACATCACCTGGCATGTAGCTTCTGGAAAAGTCCACCAGGCACTTGTGAAAGAGTGAAAATGGCCATCGCCTTTTTTTTTTTTTTTTTTAAATAAGAGTGGCCTAAGAGATGCCCGATCACACTTGGGTGTTTAGACATTTGTCTCGAGTGGAGCGTTCACCTTGATGGTTGGTGCACCATAGAAGGTGGGGTGCATCGTTTCAAGTGGTTACCTGAAAGAATCCTGGTATGCAGGTGCTGTCACATGTGCCCATGATTGATGGGCACACACAGCAGGTGTGGCAGGGACAGGGGAGATACACAGTACGCCAGACATAGGGCTCACAGACAGGTGGCTTTCCAGGATGTGCTACAGTGGCAGGGCAGAGCTTTGCGCTTGGGACATTGGTCTGTACCAGGAAACTGCAGACGCGGGCCACAGGCCAATCGTGCCACCACCTGTCTCTGTAAGTAGTTTTAGTGGCACACAGACATGCTTATCTGTTTAGTATTGCCTATGGCTGCTTTTGTGCTGCAGCAACAGAATTGAATAGTTGGACAGAAAATGACCTTCAAAGTCCAAAATATTTACTCTCTGACCTTTTCCAGGAGATGTTTGCCGACCCCTGGCCTAGCCCATGAGACGTGGTGTTGGCAAGTTGAGGTGGCACATTGAGATGAAGCTCTGGTGCCCAAACATGCATCACAGGCAGCAAGCCAGGCGTGCAGTAGACACTGCCGAGCCCGTAGTGCCTGGAGGCATGTCCCGGAGATGCGTGGGTCACATCCAGCCTGCACACAGCCATTCTAACCACCACCCTTGTCTGCAGAAACCACACGTGTATCCCCAATAACAAAGAGGACTCAGTGTGTGTGTGCCAGATTCTGGCCGAAGACAGCATTGCTGGGGCCGACGTCTACGAGCTGAACCTGTGGGCTGGGAGGCAGCTGCTGTGGAGCAGCAACTTCACACCCAGCGAACATGGTGAGCGGAGCAGGGCGGGCTGGGGTGCAGGCCAGCCCCCGGGACTCTGGGGCAGGGGAGGGGTTGAGGGGGCAGCAGCCTCCTACCTTTCCCCAAACATAAAGGGGGTCCTGCCCCTGCCTGGGCCTCAGTTCTCCCATTTTGAAAATGGGCTTGAACTCAGCAATAAAGTAGGCCCCTCAGCTCAGAATTTCAGGGTCAAAATTGGGATGTGAAGATGAGGCATGGGTGAGGGAAGACATGCTTGCTGCTGATCAGCATCTGAACTGAGAACCGTCCGTCCATCCTGTGGACTGGTCAGGCTGTGGGATGACTCTCAAGGCTGACCTTGTCCTGCTCCCAGATGCTGCAGGCATTTACCGGACTGTAAAACATGGGGTAAAGCCACAGGAAGTTAGAGCACAATTGCTGTGTGGTCCTGAGCAGTGACTACTTCTCTGACCCCCTGTGTCCAGAAGAAAATTATTATCCCCATTTGCAGTGGAATAGACTATAGCTCAGAGAAGGCAAGTAACCTGCCTAAGGTCACACAGCTGCAGAATGAGTCTGTCAGAGCCCAGGCTTCCCTCCATCGGCAGTTCCTGAAGGACCTACTTACTGGTCGTGCTGGTGGTCAGGGGTTATTTCAATGGACTATGAATAAGCCAATGACTTAGATGAGTCTCACATGTGCTGATTTTAATACTCTTTATACACACCTGTGAGCTCAGGGGTTTGATTGCTCAAGAAACTAAGTTTTAAAATACAAGAATCAAAAATATTCAGTAAGGGGTAGTAGGAGACACAGCTAAGACCAAAAGGGCGGAAGCCGAATGTGAAACCCCACAGTTTGGGTTCCTTAGGCTTCTCCCCTTAGCAGTCGCCATGCAAAGGCATTTGGAAACCTCTGAAGTGGCAGGCGGACCTGTGGCCATGTGACAGTCAGTTTGCTGCTGTAATCCTGCTATGACTCTGTGTCTGTGGGCGACCAACGTGCCATGGATGTGGTGCCGGTGACCTCTTGTCTGCGGGCTGGGCCTCTCTGCAGGCCCAGCCCCAGCCCCTCACTCATCTCTTCCCCGCAGTGAAGCCGCTGGCCCCCGAGAACCTCACTATTCATGCCAACACCTCCGACAAGTGGGTGATGACGTGGAGCAACCCGTATCCCCCCAGCAACTACCTATATTCCGAGCTCACCTACCTGATCAACATTTCAAATGAAAACGACCCCACAGATGTGAGTGGGACTGGGCGGGTGGAGACTCAGGCTCGGGGGGGGGGGGGGGGGGGAAAGGACACCCTGGGCCTCATCCCCGCTCATGCCAGCTGTGTGCCCAGCCAGCTCCTCTCCCCTGCTGACCCAGACCAGGGAGCTGCAAGCGATGGTCTGGAACCAAACCAGCCCACTGCCCGGGCAGAAGGAGGAGTTAGGGAACTGTTCCCCACTTGCAGCTGATTCTGGGCTGCGTCCATGTTTTCCTGGGGCGGAATCCCCAGATTATAGGTCATGCCTGGGACACTCTTAAGAGAAACGCACAGTGAGAACAGCTCTGTCCCTGACCATGCCCGGTCAAGGAAGGCAGCTCATGAGCAGATGGGCTCATTGAGCCCCATTCATAACACAGCGAGGAGGCTGGGGCCCCAACACCTCCCCCAGAAAAGAGGTGCAGCTGTCATTTAGCACTGTCACTCGGATCTTGTGGCCTTTACTTTTCCATGCCACCTAATACTCGCTTTCCGTTCACAGTGGTGGTGTGGCGCTTCTTTTTAAACAATTGCAATGACGTCGTTTAAAAGGGAGATCTGATTCACAGGAAGCAATCAAGTAGCGGTAACCAGGGTCGCCCACCAGAGATGGCCTGGCCCTGTCCGACGCTGGCTGCAGGTGGAGGTGGTAGTCACTGCCGGTCTCCCCATGCACCCCTCAGACCTTCCCACTCGAGGGCCCGCCTCTGAACACCGTGGGCCTCAGCAGCTCACAGAGCTGCCTTCCGTTCCTGCTCTGCCGCTTGCCCGCAGTGGCATCGCAAATATGTTACTTAACTGCCTTGTAACAGAAGATAATGCGGAAACTTGCCCATCAGGGTGAAAGCCGGAATGTGTGAGCCAGACAGGCTCCCCGCTTGGCTCAGAGTGTCACAAACATGCCCAGTCCTTGGAAAGCCCCATCTGCCTCCCTCCCACAGCCCAGTGTCTAATTCACTCCATTGACATTCTGTTGGGAGCTCTGCGAGCATCTAGGGCCTGGCCGACCTGGCTTCGGCTGGGGGGGGCCAGCCCCAGGCATCAGACACTCCCCAGTCACGCTGTGTAGCTCTTCCGTTTCCTGGCCAAGCCCGGGGTGGGGGCAGGGGTGGGGATGGGCGTTGACCCATCTCAGCTGTGGTTTCCCTCCTGGCACTGAGCCAGGATGTGGGGTAGGCGCAGGAATGAGGTAGCCAGGCTCATGCAGTGGGAGCTCTGAGGGCGACTGGGGAAGGGAGGTCTCTGTAGGTGCCAGGGCAAGAGGCAGGTTCCGTTTTGCCAGTAAGCCTTCTCACCTTCTCAGCCTGTGTGAGGCGTGAGCTCTGGGGGTAGACTGAAGGGGATCTGACTGAAAGGAGGCAAAGAACTGTTATTTGTCTATTTCTAGCTCTAACTTCAGGCATAGCTGGATCCAGGTCCTCGGAATCTCTTGGCCCTGCTTTTTTCTATGAAGGCTTCATGTTTCGGCTGGCTCTTCCCCACCTCCAGCTACCAGCGACAGGCCTGTATTCCCAAGCCATAGGGGAGAATTGTCTTTCCAGATAGCCCCAGTCAAAGTCCAGGGGCCAGTTGCCTGGCTTGCATCATGCAGCAATCTCTGAACCTGTCACAGGCTGTGAGCTCTGTTCTGATGAACCAGGAGCAAGTCACATCCCCCATCCCTGGAGGTGGGGTCAGCTTCACCCAGAGCAGATGGGCTAAAACCGAGGGAGGAAGATTTCCATGAAGGACCCTAGGACAGGAGAACAGACTGAGGATATTGAAACACATTATGCCTCCAGTCTGGAACCCAGAATTGGTCACGTCTCAGGATGTGACTCAGTGGAGGTACTCAGGGCTGCCCGCGGGCCTCAGATTTCTAGCTCCAGCTATCTCTGTTGCTGTTGTGGAAGCTCTGAGGCACCCCCCCCCCATCTCTCCTTTTACCAGGACAGAGCTAGACCTGAAGAATTCTCTCATTAGTCCTTTGTCACATGCTTCTCTCTTGCCAGTTGGAGGGAACGAGATGGCCAGTGGGTGTAGATCAGTGAGGATTAACCTTGGAGAGACACTTACCTGAGGCTTACCTGCCCTCAGCCTCAGGACCTGAGCCCAGTGCCTAGATGTCAGGCGGATGTCCAGCCGAGCTAACCCTAGGCTGCAGATATCGGCTGTGACTCAGAGAGTGTGGGATCAATTAACAGAGATTAGGGACTTGCTGTAGAATTTGGGGGTGGAACTGCTCGTTGCGCTGTTCTTTCTGGGCCAGGCTCTATCATGGCAGTTTAGCCTGGATGGAAGGATTATAGGAGTGTTCTAGATAGGGAAAGAGGGGGCAGGAAAGACAGGCAGAGGGGCAGAGGTACATGAGCAGAGACTGAGAGGTACGAAAACTCATAATGAAGCCGACAAGCATGAGGATTTGGGAGTATGTGCAGTGAAAACAGCGGAAATAAGGCCACAGGCATATTCAGGGTTGTGTCCACCATCCCAGCGGCCACCACTTCTTCTGTGCCTGCAATGCGCCACATACGACACATATTGAAACATGGGGAGGTATTTTTTCTCTTCATTTTAGTGATAAGGAAACTGAGGTTTTGAGACTCACCTCGGGTCCCCAGCCAGAAGTGGCACAGCTGGGGCTGAACCCAGGATTTGGACTGCAGAGCCTGTGCTGTGTCTCCTCCCCTGGGTCTCTCTCCCAGGGATGGACTCCCAGACACCTGGCCTTTTGTTAAAAAGTAAACGAACACCAGTAGTTCCTCAGCTATCGTATTTCTCTTTGCTTTCTTAGCAAAGCATTTCTGAGTTCCCTCCTCTGCTTCAGGATGTTCAATCCCTGTGGGGTGTTAGCTCCAGCTGTTGCTTACCCAGAAGAGCCAAGAGGGGGTGAGAGTATCTCCTCTCCCTGCCCTGGCCTTCAGTAACCCCCACTCCATCCTCAGGTCCACTGGGAGACAGAGAGACACCAGCTGACCCCAGCTCCTCCAGCAACCGACTAGAACTTTGCTTTCCTTGGGTGCAAAGCCTCCCCTCAGCTTGTTGCAGGGCAACCCAATGTGAACTGGCTCCTCACCTGCGTGCTTAAAATTCAGTTGTACTGCAGGTGCACAGAAAAAGGGTCAATGATGGGCTTATTTACAAAAGGGGAAAGAAAAGGGACAACCAGGGAAAGAGAAAGAGAGAGAGAGAGAGAGACGAGTTAACAAGAGCATCCTGCCAGTTCTGCTGACTTGGAACTCCAGTAGCACACTGAAAGCTCAAGAGCCAAGCCACCAGCCACGAGGCCGAGGAAGTGAGCGCCTCTAACATGGCTCCCTCATATATACCTCCCCAAAAGTGGTTGCTGAGCTCCGCCCTTGGGGCCTCACAGTCCTGTCCTTGGTGTTGTGGGAGTTGTAGTTTCAGTGACTGGAGTAGGAGGTGGAGTCCACAAAACCTATATCTGCAGAGTTCATACAGGCATCCTTTCCCCCTAACAGACTCACTTTACACCAAATGAGCTTCCAACCTGTAAGCGAGAGGGGAGCTGGCCAGGCTGGGGGCCACAGGGCCTGACCCCTCAGGGAGCAGGCCCTGGCAGGGGGCTGGGCCACCCACTAGTTCTCAGAATTAACCTTGCACAAAGATTTTATTTCTGTTTTTATATTTTAGTAAAAGCTTTTTTAAATAAAAGTAAATATTTATATAAAAAATTTCAAATGGTCCAGGGTGACTTAGAATGGAAATGTTTCTCACCCCACCCCAAACACAGTTGTCCCAGAGGCTGAACACAGCTCCTGTCTCTCGCCAGGAAGTCTGGGGGCGGGGTTCAGGGGGGCTTGGAGGCACGTGTGTCCTTCCAGGGAGTCGATTCCAGAAAAATGAGTAGTGTTGACACCGACCTGTTTATCACCCCACTCTCTGGGCATGGCTGAGCTGAGGCCCTGCTTCAGTTCTCACCAGGCTGCGGGTGCCGTCTCCCCTGAGGTTTGACGGAGGGAGCCTGGCTTCCGGTCTCCCGTGGGCTGTTGGGCTGAGAGCCTCGGGTTCCTGCTGCCCTTTGGCAGGAGGCCACGCAGCACCACTCAGTACATCCTTCGCAGCCAGCAAGGGGGAGTCTTTCAGAAAGGTGGAAGTACAGTCTTGTGTAAGGGAACCAGCCAGTCCCTGTGTACCCGTCATCACTGCATACTGGAAACAAGCCACAGCCCCGCCCCACACACACTCAAGAGGGGGTGACACAAGGAGGTCACAGCCGACCTTCTCGGTCTGTGCCAGCGTCACTGTGCTTCTCCCCTTGAGGACCGCAGGACGTGACAGGCAGCGGAGGCACTCACCGCCTGCTCTTTGCCTTCCGCGCTCAGCCTTGCTCTTTGGGAGTCCCTTCCCCGCAGGGACTGGGCTGGCGGGCCTGAGATTCTCTGCCAGGAGTCTGGGCTTGGCGGTGGCCGCAGGGAGCCCCGCGGGAGACAGGATGCCATCTGGGCCTCGGGAAGATCCCGTTGCGTCTCCTCTCGTGTCTGCCCCAGCCCCGCCAGGTCCACCCTGAGCGCCAGCCGGTATTAACCGTTTCATCCTCATTCACTGATGGTGGCCCTTTTGGGGAAGCAGATGGCGAGGTTATGTTACTGACCTAGCGTCACGCAGGGGCTCTCGCCTTGGTTTTAGAGATAAGGAAACTAAACGTCACCTGTAACGTCACCTGGCTAATCGGGGCCAGGGCGAGGGGCAATTCCTGGACCCCTCACCTCACCTGTAGTGGTTGTAGAGGTGACAGACGAATGCCTGGTGGGAAGGAATCCCCAAAACACTGGGCTGGTGGCTTTTAGACACCATGGGTCAGCTCAGGACACGCCCAGTGGGTACCTCTCCCCACCCCCGCTGTGCTCTGACACCTTCCTTACCTCTCCCAGGTCAAAATCTTACCTGTGACCTACAAGGGGGACACCCTGCACTTCCCAGCCAGCCTTCTGAAGCCCAGGGCCTCCTACAGTGCCCGGATAAAGGCCCAGGCTGAGATTTACAACAGCCAATGGAGCGACTGGAGCCCCAGCGTCAGGTGGCATAATGGTGAGTGTCGGGACCCTCACTCATCAGTAACACCAGTGTACGCTGTGCCCTGCCATGCCCAGTGCAGTGTTAGCTGTGAACAGACAGACAGCAGGCCCTGGGCTTGCGGAATTGACCTTCCTCGGGTAGACAGAAGACAAGCGAGGAAACAAACAGTCAGTCCAGGAGTTCTTGACCCAGGTGATAGGACCCCTGGGAAGGAAATAAAACAGGGAAAGGGGTAGAGTGATAGCGGTGATGTTCCGAGAGATCAGGTCACCCCTGATTCCCCCGTGGAACCGGTCATGGTATTAACACTGTACGGAGGAGGACATCAAGGCACAGAGGGAAAGGGGCCTCCCCTGGGTCACCAGCAAGGAGAGAGCGAGGCTGGGATGCAGGTGGTCCAGCTCTCGCGTGCCCCAAGCACAGAGGGACCTCTGTGTGTCAGGAACTGGGCAAGGTTCAGCCCTCTGGTGGCACTGGGCTTCGTGGGAGCAGGAAACAGTGAGGAGGGCAGTGTGGAGAGGAGGCTGGCCCATGCAGGGTCTCTCAGACGGCTGGTCTGGGTCTCCAGGCCTGGGGAGCAGGCCCGGGTGGTGCTGAGCAGGACTCGGGCTCCTCACGCCCCCTCTACTTGCAGACTTCCAGCCACCCCTGGAGCAGACCCTCCCGATCGGCATTGGCATCGCCTGCTCACTCATCCTGTTCGTCTTCGTGTCCTGCTATTTCAGCATCCTCAAGTGAGTCCCGGGCTGCAGACAAGCCAGCCCCTCTGGGGAGCAGAGTGGCTGGGAAGTTTCATCTTGGGGTCCTTTTGTCCGACAGCGATGGGTGGCGGGGCCTGTGTGCTGCCGGGCACTGAGGCAGCTGCTGAGAAGCTGTCGTGGTTCCCAAACCCTCACCTTTCCTTTTCTGCTTCAGGATTAAGAGAGACTGGTGGGACAAGATTCCCAACCCGGCCCGCAGCCCCCTGGTGGCCATCGTCATCCAGGATTCTCAGGTAGGGGCCGGTTTGGCTGTGTGCATGGGGAGACAGGATTCAAAGTGCTGGGCTGTTAGGGGACTCAGTGGCTTTTGGAATTGCAGCTTACCAGGGTCCTGGGGACCCCAGAGGGCTCCCAGCCCCCCCTGGGCCTTCCTGGCCTTTCTTCCTTCCAGGGGTGGGCTTCTCTCTTGGTTTCCCTCAGAGGAGGAGATAACCCCTGCGGTGTCGCGGTCTCCCTGTCACCTCCTGGAGAGGTGACTGTCTCAGGGCAGGAGGCCAAGAGGAGAGACGGGACGGCACCAACTTCCTCTGTGACGAGGAAACTGCCCCGAAGCACCAGCATGTCAAGCCTCCAATTTCTTTGGCCAGAATTGTAGCACATGGCCCTTCCTAAACTGGTTACCTGTGGGGGAGTGGCCTTGAGACCGGCAGGTGGCCATCCAGAGCTGGGAGGGGGCCATGTCAGAGTTCTCTGGAGGTGAACTCCCCAAGGAGCTGGTGGGCAGACAGGCCTGGTCGATAACGGAAAGTCCAGGTGTCCTCGGTTCTCCCCACTCTCCTGATGCCCGGTGTGCTGGTGTGGAAGCCCTCTCACGTGCCTGCACTGAGGAGGGAACATGCTGCTTGACTTCTCCGAGCCTCGGCCTGCTCCTGTGGGTTCCAGTGGTATTTACTTAACAGGCTGGGTATTGGGAGTCACTGAGACAAGAATGTCAGTGTACATTCAGGTGCCTGCACGGTCACTGCTGTTTATATATCGGCTAGCTTGGGTGTGTAACAACTCGCTTTGAAATTTGGAGAGTTGAAACATCCCTTGATTCACTCCTGCTCCGGCAGGCAGGCAGTTTGAGCTCCACTCAGTGGTGGGATCCTGAGTCGGGCTGGCTGGGCCTCTTCCCAGTGGCCTCACTCACAGGCCTGCCCGCTGGCTTATTCTCACTGGGGGCAATGGATGTCACCAAACCATGGGTCTCACCCCCAAGAAAGTCAACTCAGTTACCACAGTGTCACTTTTACCAAATTCCATTGGTCAAAGCAAGTCACCCGGCCAGACCCGACTCAAGAGGTGGGAAGAGTTTCAGAATACTGTGGCCATTTGACATACTGAAGGACATGAGAACAGAAGTGGCCAGAGCTGTGTGATGTGGAGGCGGACACAAGGAGCAGAGCCTTAGAGCATCGCTATAGCCAGGCCAGGCTGGCAGGCTATGCCACTCGGTCTCATTGGCTGTCTCTATTTTAGGTATCCCTGTGGGGGAAGCAAGCTGGAGGCCAGGAACAAGCCAAGTGTCCGTATGTATCTGAGCTTAAGTCATGGGCTACATGGATGTAGAAGGAGATGAACTGGTTGGCAGACTCCTTCCTGAAAGTGGGGTCACCTCCCCACCTCTGCCTTCTCCTCTATGACGCTAGGCTTGGGGGCCGGCAGGAGGAGGAGGTCTGGGTAGATCACTGCTGGCTGAACCGCCTGGGCTGCATTGGCTGGTTGGGACCATGCTGAAGCCCCTTGGGAACACCCAGTTTGGCCTGAGCCAGGCTGGTAGAGTAACAGCCAGGGCAGCTAAGCCAGTTAAAATGTCCACGTAAATGTTGCATGTAACTGTGTAAATGGTAACAGTTTGTGAGTAGCCACTGTACCCTCCGGTATCCCACCACCACCCGGCTTTCATTCCCCCCTTTCATTCCCCCCTTGGGGCCCCTGGGACCTACCCACAATCCAGCAATGAAAGCTTTGTGGCACAGCTGGGGGCTCTTGGCCCCTCAGCCCCACAGCTATTCTATCTGGTCATCACTTAGACTGTGGTGTTGCTAAGTATTTTAAATATCCCTGACGAAGACTCCTTTGGGCCATAGACTGAGTTTGTGTTAGACAGAAGGTATACACTGGCTCCAGAAACCCCAGCATAAAACATGGGTCCTACTTTCAGAAAGTTCCCCATCTCGTAGCAAAGATGAACTAATAGATGGTTGGTTAGAAAGTCAGGAAGTATACCTGCACTAAATAGACGTCAGGACAGGGCGATTTCAAACGGAAGGACTTTGCAGAGGATCGGGGGTTTGTTAAGAAACTTCACCTTGACCAAACTTGTCTTATTTTTGCAGACACTGGAAAACTTGTCTTACCAAGCTCCTGCCCTGTTTACTGGAGCATGGCATGGCAAGGGGTGAGGACGCCCCCAAAGCTGCCAGGAATGGGCCTTTCCCGGGCCCTGGAATATCATTGTGGCGCCCTGTGGAGGTCAGCAAGACACTTGTCTGGCCAGAGAGCATCAGCGTGGTGCGGTGTGTGGAGCTGCTGCAGGCCCCAGAGGAGAGTGAGGAGGAGGTGGAAGAAGACAAAGGGAACTTCTGTCCCACGCCAGAGGACAGCGGGGGCAGCTTTCTGGAAGGCAGAGAGGAAATCGCAGCCCGGCTGACAGAAAACCTGTTCCTGGGCCTCCTGGCGGATGAGGACTGCGCCTTGCACCCCCAGGACTCGGAGGGGTCCTGCCTTCCTCCACCTTCAGGAAGTGTGGGTGCTCAGACGCCCCGTCTGGGGGTCCCCAGTGAGGGGCCCCAGGACACCTCCCCGAGCGAGGGGCCTGAGTCAGATCTCCAGGCCACCGGACTCCAGAGCCCAGACAGCGTGACTTTCGCAGCGGTGCCCACCGTCGTCACAGACAACCCCGCCTACCGCAGCCTCAGCGGCTCCCTCAGCCAGCCCCCGGGGCCTGGTGTGCCCGCCCCAGGCCCCCAGCCTGTGTGCCCTGGGGAGGTGGGCCACACCCCCCCCTCTGCCCACCAGCCCTCAGGGCCACTCACCGCACTCCAGCCTGAGCCAGAAACCTGGGAGCAAATCCTCCGCCAGAGTGTCCTCCAACACAGGATGGCCGCCCCTGCCGCCGGCCCCCTCAATGACTACCGGGAGTTTGCCCGGGCGGTGGAGCAGGGCGGCACCCAGGACGGTGGTGGGGCAGGCGTTGGCCCTGCCCCGGAAACTGGCTATAAGGCCTTCTCCAGCCTGCTCTCCGACAGGGCCACCTGCCCAGGGACATCGGGGGTGGAGGGCAGCTATGGGGACAGAGGCTACAGCCCTCTCCAGAGCCGCACTCCTGGCGGCCCTGAGGCCTCTACCCCAGTCTCCGTCCCCCTGTTCACCTTCGGACTGGACGAGGAGCCCCCTCTTGGTCCTCAGCACTCACACGCCCCAAGCAGCTCTCCAGAGTGCACCCACCTGGAGCCTGTGGAAAAGGGAGAAGACAGCCAGAAGCCCCCATGTGCCCCGGAGCAGGCCACAGACCCCCTGAGGGATGACCTGGGCAGCGGCATCATCTACTCGGCCCTCACCTGCCACCTGTGTGGCCACCTGAAGCAGTGCCACGGCCAGGAGGAGCAGGGTGACGCCCACATTGTGGCTGCTCCCTGCTGTGGCTGCTGCTGTGGGGATAGGTCCTCACCCCCAGTGAGCCTCCTGAGGGTCCCAGACTCCCGGCCAGGTGGGGTTCCCCTGGAGGCCAGCCTCTCTTCTGTACCCTTGGGTGGCCCAGAGGAGGGTAAGCCCTCCTTGCTCAGCCAGCCTGCCCCAGGCAATGCTCAGAGCCCCAACCAGACCCCCAAAATGGTGGCCATGCGCGCCACCAGGCCCGCCTGTGTGACCACCTCCTAAGTGTGTGCCTTCGTGTTGCTGAGGCCTGCAGGCGAGCCCCGGGCCTCACCCATGCCCATGGAATGCAGTCAGGCTGGCAGATTCCCAAGACTTGGGGCTACAGAGACCAGATCTCCCTATTCCCCACTGGTCTGGACTCCCTGCATCCGGTGGGAGGGGACGGTCGTGGGCAGCCGTGCCCACAGCAGGCGCCTGGGAGAGCCGAGGCTCCGGGTCCCTCAGTTCATTCATCTGAGCACAGCTTCTCCCGTGCGTCATCACCACCACGGCTGCCCAAGGCGTGACTGGTCGTCTAATCACTGACCAGTGTGTGACCAGTCCTGGGGTCACTGCCACCATTTCACCGGACTGGACGCTGAGCCTGGAACCAGCCACGCCGGCCAGGAATGACTTGGGAGGCTTTGGGAAGCAGTGGGAAGCCGAGGGCCAAGAAGGGGGACATCCGCCCAAGGGGCCCAGTCACTGACAGTGCTCAGGGGGCTGCTGCTGGAGGCAGGATCTGGGCCATGGGGGTGCCGAGTCAAGGTGGGGGGGAGGGGCGGAGCATGCGAAAAGGTGACTTCCAACCAGTGACAGTTTGCTGTCAGGTTTCCCGTCAAATATAAGACTTGTGTTCCTGTTACCCTTGGGACCCTCAGAGTAGACACGCCCAGCTGCCTTGGGGTTTGTGTCCCATGGACACCGTGACTGGCAGCCACAGGAGACCAGGGAAAGTGCATCCGGCTGGGCAGGGCCCTCTAGCCCGAGACACCGGGGCTATAGCCTGAGTGGGCCGGACTGCAGGTTGAGCAATGCTTGTTTGCTTCTGTAAGATTGTCTTATCACCTGGCATTTGTGTTTGCTGAGGAGATGGAAAGGGAGGGGGTGAGATTCTGTATAAACAAAAGCTCTTTATACCCCCCCCCATTTATTAAACAAACACATGAGCAGGCCCTGTCGTGGGTGCTTTGTCTCTCTTAACTCGTTGGCGCCTTCCATCCGAGGCACAAGAGTCACTGTCTGCCTCTGGGTTCCCCTGAGATTCTAGTGCAGCAAGATGACTTAGGAGATGAGCCCGGGAAAGCCCGCTTGGGGAGCTGGGAAGTGCCAGGAGCAATAAAAGAGGTTCCGCACATACCCATGTGGGCATCTGGCACTCCGGCCCACTGGGGAGCTGCACACACCTCGCCTGGAGGTGCCCCGCAGAGGCGGGGTGCTAGAGTGTTTGTCCATCCACTCCTGTGTCTGGTCGAGGGCAGCTGGCAGCTGCTCCCAGAAGAAGAAGGTCCTCAGATGAGGGGTGGAGAGGTTCTGCGCTTTGGGGGCAGCCAGGAAATGTGGATGGGGCTCGAGAGCAAACAGCCGCCCTAGGTGACTGGAAATGTCTACCCCCCGCCCCTGCCCCGTGGGCTCCCTCCACTCCCAGATGGGGTCAGCTGAGATGAGGAGTTAGGACCCTCCTTGCAGACCCCACTCGGGAGCGCCCGTGGTGGGTGGCTTTGCAGGGGGAACAGCTGGTTGCCGCAGACTTCCTTGGAAGGTTTTTCTGGGGATCAGACACTTCCTAGAGCTCCCTTGAGATCTGGTCGTTGGCCCCCAAAACGCTGGTCTCCAGTCTTTGCAGACTGTCTGCTCTCTCTCTTTTATTGCATTTTCTCATTTGTCAACCCAGGAGGACATTAAAATGTGTTGTAGTTCCTGAAGCTAGTGTCCCTATCTGCAGCATCGCCATCACCTGTCAGGTTTCCTCCCACCTGGCTGAGGCACAGGTGGCAACAGTCAGAAGCTACAAACAGCTTAGAATCCGCAGTCCTTAGCTCTACTCGCCGCTCTGGTGACCACCAAAGCCTCCTGGTGTCTGCTGCCGCCCGCAGCCTCTGCTCACCCTGACCTGGGAGCCGAGCACCCCCTCTCTCACCCCCTCCTGGCTACTCTGATCGGGACTTACCCACACCCTCCTGCAGATGTGTTTGGAGGAGCAGCTGTACCGTGAGAGGCCATCATCAGGAGAAAAGGATGTTTCAAAGGATGAGAAATTTTATTTTAGATTTGCAGGAAGAGATCATTAGAAGAAGAGAGAAGAAAGAGAGAGAGAGAAAGCAAGAACAGAGGTCCAAGGAGCAACCTTAGGGAGACGTTTTATAGCCAGACAAATGGATGCCGGGCAGTCCTGCCCTCAGGGACTTGGGGCTGTGGTGGAGAGGTGCCCAGCGAACCACCAGCCTCTGGCTCGGAAGTGCTTGACATGTGGCTTGAGTGGCCAGGGAACAGGTTTTTAAATTTTATTGAGCTAAGTAACAATTAAATTGCAAAACCTGGGTCTGGCCAGTGCTTGTAGTGGTTCATTCCCGCCTTCGCTTTAGAGTGGAGGAGAGAGGACAAGATCTAGAAAGATGAACAAAAGAGGCCAACAGCACCCAGTGTTTGCGCCGAGGGGCAGGGTCGAGTGGATGGAGTGAGTCTCACAGAGTCCCCCTGCCGGAGCGGGAAACGGGACTGTGGGGACACTTTCCCAGGGACCCTGGGGGACTGAGTGGGATGGGGCCGCTCCAGCGCAGGGTGGGGAGAGAGGTTTGGGGCTCCCCGCGGACCCCGGGAAACCTCTAAAGGCTCTGATTTCAGGGTCCTGCGGCCCTGACCCCATGTGCTGTCTCTGTGCTGCTTGATACACTTTTCCCGGGTGGGTGGCGTGATACTGTGTCTGCTTCAATTGTTGGTTGCTGTTTTAATGTTTTTTAAGTGCCATTGCTTTTTTTCTGATACTAAATTGGCACGTGTCTCCAATTCAGAGAAAACCTAAAGGTAGAAGGAGGAAAGTGAAAACCACCGGAAATCCCATCACGCCCCAGCACCTGGCACCGTGTGGGTGGTCACAGAATGAATATTTGTTTTTGAAGGTATAGCTCGTGCAACATCCTGTTGAATAAACTTTATGACACTGTTTTCCCACGAAAGTTATTAAGAGAAGGGGGGAATTGGTGTTTTGGAGCCCACTGCATGGAAGGCTGACCTCCAGCCTCGGGGCTCAAACAGGACTTCCTGGGGTGCACCCTGCCCCCATTTGTACCCCAGGTACCCACTTTCCAAGGGCGAGAAAACACTAAGACTCAGAATCAAGGGCCCACACTCAGCCTGCCTCAGCTTAAACCTACCTTTCCCCACGGAGCTGTGTGACCGTGGACAAGGAGTTTGACGACTCTGGGCTCAAGTTTCCTGGCTGCTAAGAGAAGTCGCCGGCAGTGGCGTGAGCAGATGTCTCAGTGGGGCTTGTGTCCAGCTGTTCTAATGTGTCTGAGACACCTGCCAACAGCAGGCAGCCTGCCAGTGCTTCCTCAAAATTCCACCCTTCTCTGTTTTCCTTTGACTAGCAGAAGGCACCTGGCGATGAGGCGGTGGCCACATCAGTTTGGCTGGCCGCCAACTCCTTGGTCCCTGCTGCCCCCTGGTGGTCCGCACTGGCCCCAGTGCCTGGCTCTGGCTCCTGGTTCAGGTTCCTGGTGTTGCCACCAAGAAAAGTGGGACGGGAGACCCCCGACCCCCCCACTCCCATCCCCCACTCTTCTCTGCACGCCACCCCCACCCTCCCCGATACCTGGCTAAAGCACCAACACATGTTAGGGACCCAGGATGCTCCCAGTACCGGCTGTGTGGCTTGAGGTCAGCCAGGCAACCTCTCTGTGCTTGCTTGCTCCTGCGTAAAATGGGGATAGTGGTACCTGCTGTGGGGAGCTGCTCTGAGCCCTGGATATGTTACTGCTGGGAGCCTTCTCACATAGGTAATGTCCAGGGGGTTGCTAATGTTCCTGCCACACAGATGGGGCCCTGGGAGTTGACCATGGCGCTGTGATTTCAGTGTTACATGATTACAGAGAGGACTGGACGGACATTAGAAATCCAAGCCAAAGCTGCTCTGATGGCCTCAGCCCACCAACTTGTGGCTGTATCTGTCTGTCACGCCTAGCTGCCCTGCGCAGTCAGTATTCATGTGCTGGCAGGGTTCACAGTGCGTTTCTCGCCCGTGTGCATATCCTGTCTCCCCGGTTATAGTAGCCTCTTCCTCCATTCCTTGCCTTGCAGCTTCTTCCCAGACGGCTGCTTGCTTCCCCATCAACCCCAGAGGGGCCGGTTCGAGGAGGGCGGGGAGGAAAGCCACCTCTGACCCCAGCTGCTGCGGGAAGCCTGACCCGAAGACAGAATGCACTCAGCTCACTGATGGCTCGTGGTGGGGATGTTCATGCTCCTGACTGTAGCCCTGGCCACAAACTCGTCTTTGATCCCATCCACAGCCTGGTCTCTGATGCTGGCTGTACAGACTCTCCCTCCTGGATGTACACTGACAACTCCTACCACCCACGAGCTGGTATTTCCTGATTTCCGGCCGGTAACTTCAGCTAGAATTGGTCAACATATTTAGTCTGTCCTTCCCCTCTGCTCTGGGACTGCAAGGCAAGACAGTGGTTCTCCTTTCTAATAAAGAGAGCAGCATTAGGAGAAAGCCCCTTTGCCATCTTCCTTTCTGCTTTACATGTGATGGCTGGTGTTTGGCAGCCATGTTATGACCAGGAGGGAAGGTGCCAGCAGATGGAAGGATAGAGTTTTGAGTATGGCAGAGTTGAAGAAGGGAGCCTGTGTGCTTGCTGATATCCTCAACCATCAAAACAATCTCTGCATTCTCAAGTAAATCAGAAACTTATTTTTGTTTAAACCACTGTGGAGTTTTGTTTTGCAGCCATTAAATAGCCTTAAAAGAGCACAGTCGTTAGAGGAATGAACCCCCCAAGTTATTCACCTCCCAGTTCTTGGATGGTACACTGCAACGGGCAACTGAGGTCGCAGGTGGAACCAAGATTGCTGATAAATGACTTCGAAATGGAGAGATACCCTGGGTTATCTGATGATCTCAAGTGAAAGAAGGATGCAGGCAAGTCCAAGCCCCAGAGACATTCCTGGGATAGGTGGAACCACAGTAGTGCACCTACAGTTTGGCTAGGCAGTCAGTCTGCTTCTGTGGACCTGCATTTTCTTTCTAACAGCCCTCGGAGGCTCTCTCCACATGAGCAGGCAGTTTTTCGGACCGTGTCATTTCCTCGCTCACACTGCCTCCTGGTTCCCATTAGTCAAAAGTGTGGGAAATACATGATGATTGTAGGTAGCACACGGTGTCAAAAGGACATCAAAGTGAGAACGTGATGCCTTCTCAATTCTTTCTCTTCCTCTGACAAACTTTCCACCGGCAATAGCTTTAGCTAGAATTTAATAATTCCGTTTTTACAGTTCCCTTCTCTTTGTAATAAAGGATGCTGGATTTCTATTCAAGGTGGTGAATATTCAAGTTGCTTACCCCTTTCCCTCTTCCTCCCCACCCCCACCAGCAACTAGTGCTGGTGGTGTCCCTTGGCATAACTGGTTCATCTCAGAAAACTAATCCCATGTGACCCCCCGCCACCCCGCTCGCAGACTTCCAGCCACCGACTGTGAAGCCGTCAACACAAAAGTCTATGCTCTACCGTGGTGGTTAGAGCATCATGACGATAACAGGGACATGGAAGCCACCTATACACCCATCACCTGGGTCAAGAAGATGAGGCCCTCCATGCTATGGAGTAAGACTCCGCCATAAGGAAAGATGAATCACAGACATTTTCAGCCAAATGCAGGGAGTCTGTGGGGATTATGTGCAGTACAGCAAGGCAGAATGACAAAGACAAATGCTGGACATTTCTGCAGCCGTTGTGGAGAGTAAAATACTGGCAGACATTAATAAACACCAAGAGGGGACCCTCCCTGGTGGCGGAGCGGGTCGGAATGCTGCACTGAGAAGCCAAGCCAAGCCGTGGCTGCTTCAGGGCAAGTTCGATCCCCGCCTGGGAGCTGACCCACACGGCGCAGCAGACCTCTTCTGTCTCCCCGCTGCTCCCCTCAGTAGTGTGCTTCGTCAATCTGCCTGTCCTG